CCACCACCACCATCGCCCACTGCTGCATTCCCACTAGTCGTCTCCGCCACCAATCGCCGTGCCTCCTCCACAACGGCGCGCAACTCAGCCACGGTGAGGTCATCAAATGCCTTTTTTTCCTCCAAAAGCAGCTTCGCCACATTGATTCTTTCTTGCTTTGCACCGAGCGGAGAAAGGCAGCTGCTGCGGCTCCTTGCCGGCGAAATTTCCTGCTCGGGGGAATGAGACCCTCCCGCCACCGGTGGGGTACCGGTAGAGATGGCGAAGAGATCCTCAACGAGTGGTGGTGGGTACACCACCGCTTTCTCTTGCGTCGGCAGCTGCTTCTGCTGCTCCCGCCGTTGCTGATGAGAGGGGACGTACGAAATCCAGAACTCCACTGCAGACTCCAAGTTCGCGAGGCAGTACGCTTCCTCGGGATCCATCAGAGTGCTCTCGCGAAAACGCTTTATGTACTGCATGTTCAAGTAAAAGTTCTCTGGACAAGCACGTAACACCAGCAACATAAAACAGGGCAGCATTTCGTCTGCCCCAAACGTGACATCCTTCTTCACCTTGTTGCATTTACTGACGCTGCTAACGGTGCTACTTCTGCTGCTGCTGCTGTTGTCACCGTTCCGCACCTTGTCGTTGAGCGTGGCTCCAATCGCCTTTGCGAGGTGTCTGCATGCTCGCACGACACAGCGGAGCTTTTCCCGTGGAGTCTTGAAGAAGTTCATGGCCTCTAACTCGAGCATTGCCTGGCCCCACATATGGTGGTTTTCCACTCCCTTCAACGCATCGAGTTGCTCGGCCGTCACAAGAGGGGAGAGCTGCCGGAGCTTCTCGGTCAGCTCCTTGTTTCGCTGCGGCTCCTCGGGAACGACACCGAAGGCGCGCGAGTAAAGCTTCGTCATGATATATTTTTCAAAACCCTCCGATGCCATGTGGAACTTCTCCGCGTCGCTGGCGAAGAGCGGAATGCGCCTGCACTGGTCCAGACAGAAAGCGGTTGCCCGCCTGACATCAGTATTGTCAAACATCGGCATCTCCCGCTGCTGAACTGTCTCCACAAAGTTGGAGAGGGTCTTGGCTAGCGGCGCACACACCGGGAGCGCCATGTACCGCTTAAACTCTGTGAAATGCACATCATTGTCATCCGCAACAAGACGGTGATAGTTGGAAATGGACTCACGCGAGAAACGACCCCCCGAAGCGTCAATCTCCTCTTGCTGGTGCTGTGGGAGCACAACTCGCTTCAGCACGGCGAGTGTGTTGTGCAGCTCCTGCTCGTCCATGAGAGCATCTGCGATGAAGAAGATGTGCAGCTTGCAGGGGTGGAACTCACCCACGTCGGAATCGTCGCGCGGCAGGAGAGGGCTCGTGTCACAGAGCACCGCCGCGGTCCCGATACGGCCGTACCGTGCAACGCGCTCCAAGTTGCCGGCGAACTCGCCACGTTGCCCGCGCACCGTCACGAAGGCGGGTGACGCAACGTTGTCAAAGTGGACAAGGTGGTAGTCGAGCAGCTGTTCACGCAGCACACGCGCCACCTGCTGCTGCTGTTCCAGCGTCAAGGTGATGCTGCGACCCGCAAACGTGAGGACGGCGGAGGGGATCTTGCCGTTGGACGGTGGTGGCGGCAGCAGCAGAAACGGTGCGAGGCCGCTCTCTTCGAGGAACGACTGCTGTGGGCAGAAGAGCACCTCTACCGGGCCCTTCTCTGGGTAATCGTGGAGGATTCCGCCCGGCCGAACCGCCTTGAGCAGGGCGTTCTTCTGCAGTTCCGCCTCAGCACATGTCGCATTGGTTTTCATTTCGTCCGTTGTATCCGCTCGCATCACCCACTTCGACACGCTGGGACTTGTCAGGGGAGACGGGGACGCCGTGCTATAATGATTCTTTTCAGTTTACTCCTCTCAACGAGAAAGGCGGAGTGTCGCCTCTACACACACACACACACACACGCACGCAGACCCAGATACCAAAGAGAAAGCAATAGAGCAAAAAGAGAACGAGTAGAGTGAAACTCATTGATCCGTCATCATATAAAGCAATCCACAGCAGGAGTGTTCTTATTCCATCTTCTTGGGTGGGCGTGACGTAACGCACCTTCGCTCACCAGACGCCACTTTCTCACACTTATCATTCTTTTTAGTCGGATCCGGTTCTGCTTTTAACCATCGTCAACCAAACAGAACACAACACATTAACCCCTCATTTCTTCCCTCCCCTTCCCCTTCTTCTCCTTCAGAGATAGACACACACATACACACACTTTAGCGAGCTTAGGCCGAATCAACTTACTTCTCCTCCTTCCGGCTGGAAATTTTGCTGGAGACGCCATTTGCCCAGTGTGCTGTGAGGTCAATCCTAAACTCCGCCGACTGAACGCCGAACAGTTTCAGCAGCTGTGCAGCCTCCACGCTGAGGGTATCGTTGGGCTCGCAGACGGTCGTGTCCTGCAAGAGAACAATCACACCCTTGTCGAGTTTAATGGGCAAACCGAGCTTCGACAGGTGGTCAAACATGCTGTGTGGAAACTGTGGCAGCGGACCGGCGTGCAACACTAGAGAGCTAGTCGCTGTCTGCCCCGTGCGCGCGTACACCTGCGCACCGACTGAGGCGAAGTAGCTCTTCACCTCCTTCTTGGGTAGGTTTGTGAATAACAGGCCACAGGAGCCCACGAGGAACTTGCTCAGCTTGTGCAGATTAGGGCGCTGCGAACTCTCCTCATCGCGGCCCAGCGCGACCATGAGCAGCTTGTTGTTGCCAAGGAAGAGACGGCTGTCTGCCTTGCGCTCCTCGCGGATCTGTTGCAGGATGTTTGTGCGGATATTGGAGAGCTGGAACGTGTACACATCTGTGTAGTCGTCCAGGGCCTCGCGAATCCGGTTGATGAGCTCATCCTTGTTCTCACGCGTCTGCGCGCGTGTCTTCGTAAGCGGAACTATCTTGGCACGCTTCGACTTGGGCATTCTGCTGCTGTTGCTGCTGGTCTTGGTGCTGCTATGCGCTTCACAAAGGAGGTGCAAAAAGAAAGAAAAAAAAAAAAAAGAAGAGTATTTTTATCACCATCTCTCTCTCTATCTATCTATCTCTGTATGTGTGTGGAGGTGTATTTCTTCGAGCAGTTCGCACCATCGGCGGTATACGCTACCGCCGCGCCACCTTTCTCTCTTCCATTCCAGTGGGAAAAAAAAAAACAAACAGGCAGCACAAAATTAACGTAATTTCATTGTCTTTTTTGGAGCTTCTACTTCTCCAGGAATATGCCACACCCCACCCCACCCAAACGTATCACTAGGGAGTGAGGCGCCGAACGATGCGTCTCCACAAGCACCTTCCTTTTTGTCGCCACACCACAGTCTTCCTTTCGTCGATCAGCTTCTCAATTCGGCTCTCTCTCTCCTTCTCTCCCTCTCTGTCACTTGCTCACACAGGAGGAGAAAGTAAAGAACACCGCCGTGCTCAGTAGCAATACACAAGCCAAAAAAAAAGAACTTGGAAAATGACAGGGGCAGTGAGACAATAAAAAAAAAAAAAAAACAGAAACAAACAAAGAAAAAACACTATGCTACTGACTCAGCAGCTCAGTAGCCAGAGAACACACGTGCCCCAAAGGCGTGAACATAGTCCGTCGTGGAAAACTCATCGTCCTCGGGCCACTCGTGGCCACCCTGGAGTGCGTGCACTATCTCCACAACAGAGTGACGGAGGTCGGCGGCGTGGCGCCCAGTGAGGTGTCCGACAACAACATCTTTTATGCGTCGCACGTACCGCCTCACACGCGTCTCCCACACATCTGCGCCGCTGTCACAGTCAGAGTAGATCAGGTTTCTGTACCTGCTGGCATTGATAGTTACATCAGTGGCCTCGTTGCATCCATTAAAATTTGCCCACCCCGCAACGTTGTCCTGTAATGGCGGGAAGCCCAGGAAGCTATTGCCGCCTACCGGGACGAGCATGTCGTGGTTGCCGTGCACCATCAGCACACTTGTGCGGAGGCCCTCCGTGTTGTTCACGAGAATGGCACGACCGCACGCCTCAAGGCCGGCATCATTGCCGGGGCGCAGCTCCACGATGCCGGAAACCGACGCTACGGCGCGAAAGACCGTCGGCTTGTGGCAGGCGAGCACCTCTACCATCATGGCGCCGTTGCTAAAACCGATGGCCATCACCTTCGCGGGGTCCACACATGCGCCAGTGGAAACGGTGTCTACAAGCTGCTGCGCGAAGGCAAAGTCATCGGGTTTGTTCGGAAGCGTAAAGCCGCAGCACGTGCCCGAGTTCCAGCCGATACCGAGAAGCCCAACAGAGCCACAGGCACTGGCGAGAATGTAGCCTTCCCGCTCCGCGTAGGGGATGAAGCCGGTTGCGTTGAGGAAGTTATCACAGTTGTCATTCAGCCCGTGGAAGAGAACCTGCAGGGCAACCCTGCT